ATCTCTGAAAAGTTTTGTTAAGTTGACGACGATTATTATAGCACATAATACAATTTTGTCAGAACACTTGGGCTTTTTGGGCTAATTTGAATTAAGAAAAGCACGAGAGCCCACTAAGGTTAATGGGCCGATTCTCCAATAAAAGCGATCGTGAGGCAGAAAGAGTTTGATTTTGGGGAAAAAAAAGAATTCGGTCTGACCGACGGTGGTGGTCCTCTTGAAAAGCGCCTCCGTTTTCAAGCAAGAATCCTCCAAGTTAGCTCTCTCTCTCTCTCTTTGCCTTTGACGAATGTGTTGTTGATTCGATTGCTATGGTGTTTGATTTCCTCTTTTTCACTCCTACGAATGAATAATCGGAATCATGGACATGTTTTGTGGATTGACATGATTCGATCCTATAGACTCAGCATTCCTGATTCAAAACCATTGCTGTGATGATCAGTTGGCTTGTTACTTCGGTTTTGGTAATTTGAGAAACTACAAGACTCCTTCAGTGTCCAAGACACCAAAGGAGATAGATTCAAAGGGTCCGAGATTAGCGGTGTAGATGAAAGGGAGGGTTTCGGTTTATAATCTGTTTAGATTGACTCTTTGAGATATGCGAATGCTAGTTTATAATCTTGCCACAACTATTTTTCTAGTCGTTCCTGGCTGATATGATGGACTAAAGACGTATGTATAAGAAATGAAAACTGCGAGAGCAAAGTAACTAAAAAGAAGGGAAGATGTGCATTTGAGTCAAGATGTGGTGGAAGTTATCGGAGGGTTTATCAACGGGATGGGTATGAACACCTTGGTAAGTGGTAACCACCACTCCTTCGTCTCCTGATAGTCTCTGCACTTGCTTCTTCACTCTGCATCCTTGTTGGGTGCACTTATAATAGCTCCTATACATATTTGAGTCTACTATTTATCAGCAAGCATCATAGTGACAAATAGCATGACAATAAGGGAGGTAGGTAAGGTACCTGGGGAATGGATTGTTCTTGACAGCTTTTTGGCCGTACTTCCTCCACCTGTATCCATCGTCGAGAATATCAACCTGGCTTCTTGTCTGAAAGGCAAACCTTGGTTCTCTCTCTTTCTTTTTCCTAATCTTGTGCTTCTCTTCTTCGTTACTGTTATGGTGTGACAGTGATGAGGCTGTTGTCTGAGCTGCACACTGTGTATCATATCCAGACAAGCCATGATCAACCGATGATGAACATGGAAACAACACCTGACACATATCCTCCATTTCTTCTTACTTGGCTAAGAGTTTATGGGGGGGGGGGGAGAGAGAGAGAGAAGCAATGTTTTCAACATGAAAATTCCAAAAAGTTGTGTGTGCGTATATATGTCTGTGTGAAAGGCGAGAGAGGGAGAGAGAGACGTAGACGGCAACGAAGATGCGAGGGAAAGTGAGAGGGATTTGATCAGAGAAATGAGTTTGGTGGAATTTGTTTTTAAAAAGGTGTGGCGGCTTCATCATTTTTTTATTATTATACAAGTCGACTTTCAACATTTGGTGCAATGGATCCAAATTTCAAACTTGCATTGGTAAAGAAGAGTAAGTAAGGTAAGCTTCTAGATCTCTGAGAATAATGTATATTTCTTTTATTTTTCTAATCAAATTAGACTGCATTTTGTATACCAGTAAGGTTGGATATTTCAATAAGAAAATAACATCCATATCACGTGTATTTGAACTTCTCAACTTAGACCTAACGAATTAGTTGATTCCATTCAAATATTCAACTAAACAATGATATTGAGATTGTTGACTATTTGCTCCTTTTGTCTTCCATATTTGTCAAAAGTATTATTATAATCATTGCTTAGATGGATGGATTCATCCCCTCCAAAGTTATTCAAACTCGTTTCATATTTTCAAATTCACTTTCCAGGAAACAGTAGTAGGTATCAATTACACTAGTAAAATCATAATCTCACATGAAGGATTTGAAACGGGGTCTCATAAGAGACTGCCCTCCATCCACCAAGACAGTGGTGCCTGTCATGAAGCGTGAGCCGTCGCTGATCAAGTAGATCACTGTGGAGTAGAGATCCTTAGCCGGGTCCAGCCACTGCCCGAGTGGAGCAGCGGCCTTCACCAGCTTCTGCGCTCGATCTCTCCCCACGGAAGTTGGATATTCATCGCCCAGATGCAGCCCTCGAGAGATCATGTTGACCCGAATATTGTGCTTCCCAAGACTCATGGCGGATGCCTGAGGAATAACTCAAACAATCATCAACAATATCCACCATCTCTGAAAGTAAAAAGTAAATGTAAATGTAAAGATTGATGTATCAAGAACAGATACCCGAACCAGCTGATGAATTCCAGCAGAGGCAGTAGAGTAGGCATCAGCTCCGGGATAGAGGCCTCTCTCTCCGCTGGCGATTGTGGCGAGAAAGACAATGGAACCACCTGATCCATGTTCCTTCATCCTTGTGGCCACGGCCTTCAAGAGGAACCATGGGGCCGTGAGATTGGTCTTTGTGATTCTCTTGAACTCATCTTCAGACACCTCAAGAATGTCCTGCATCTTCCCTACAAGAAGAAACCATCTCGAACTCATCTTGGGGCAAATTCACCTTTGGGCAAATTCATCTACAAAAAGAGAGGCTTTTTTTTGTTTTTATTACCTTGGTAGGTATAGCAGTTGATAAAAGCATCGAAATTTCCAAGACAAGTCCATGCCTTTTGGACAGCCACATCGAAAGCATCTTGGCTATCAGCTTCCATGTCGAGCCCAATGACCTCCACTGGGAAGGATCCATCAATGGAGTCTCTTATGTGCTCTGCAATGCTCCGGAGAGAACCCTCGTCTCCCATCATAACCAACCTAAAACATGACATGAGAGGATTGATCTCAGTTCTGCATCTATCTAAATAAGCATCCTAAGTAAGTAGAGACTAGAGATCAGTTAGGAGACTCACCGGCAACTGTGCTTGGCTAGATGGAAAGCGAGGTTCCGGGAGACCTCGTCGCCGTTAGATGTCAGCAACACTCTCTTCGCCGTTGGATTTCCCATTTCCGAATTCAGGAGATGATTAGGGAATGTGCACTAGATCTATTGATCATTTAT